TGCGGAAAGTTTTTTTTTTTTTTTTTCTCTTCTCTCTGTTTTTGAAAACTTATTTTAAGAAAACAGACAATCCAGTTTGGTTGGTCCATGATATGGGTCCAATAGTAGTGTAGTTGGATGGGGCTTGCAAAGACCTTTCCAACGATATATTATAAGCCCAATTCTGATGAATATTGAGGAAGTTATGGCCAATTTACCAAACTAGGCCCGGTTTGAGCTTTATGTACGGCCCAATGATCTTGGGGAGGGCCTAATATGATTTATCATTCCTAATGCAATTAGGAATGGTTTTAGTCTTCTAGATTCTTCTAGAAGGTTCTTTTCATTCCTAATTCAATTAGCATTGATAAATTGACTTTTGTTGACTTTTCAGAGTTTTAATCAAAATCAAATAGTATTTTCGAGGAAATTATATTATTTTATCCTCCAGTACGGTAAACTTATTGGATTTTCGAAAACACGTCGGAATCAGGCTTGGCGCCTAACCCCAGGCCTTGGCGCCTGGAACCAGGCCTGGCGCCTGGCGCTAGCCATTGGCGCTTGGCGCTAAGGCTGGTGCCTGGCGCCAGTTAGCCAGGGTTGGCGCCAGCTCTGTTTCCTGAGCGTCAGACTCTGTTTTGTTTAATTTATCTTTTTGGCTGATTTTCTCTATAAATATCGTATTAAAAACTCCGTTTTCAAAAACCATTAATCATCTACATCCATCATTCATCAACAATCATTATTCTTTAGCATTCTCTAAATCATTCATCTCTCTTCAAAATTCAATTCTTTCTTACTTCGCTTTTTCATACAAAATTCCGCATTCATTAGATCTAGAAACACCTGACCATATTCGAAGTTGCCTTCGCCCTAGACGTGAAAGGTTTTAATTTCTGAGGGTTTGGTCCCAAATCTCTCTTTCAATTATTTAATTTAATTATTGTTTATTATTTTCCTTGAAGTTACTAACGTGTGTATTTTGTTATTAGAAAGAGGTACGAGGCATCAAAGTAAGTACTTTATTGATTTAATTGATGTTATGATGTAAAAATCATGTTTACATTGTTATTATGATATTCCTAGTATCATGTCTAGGGTAATTTTAATATTAAATATGATTGTTACAATGCTTCCTATTTTTTTCCTAATATTTATGATTATTAGTATCATGTTAGGATTAAAGATTTGATTTTTATTGCTTAGTGACATGCTAGGGTTTGTTATTAATCTTGTTAGTATCATGCCTAGGATCTTGCTATTATTATTATGCTTTAATATTAACATGAACATCATTATTATTATAATTGTTATAATTTATGATTATTATGATTATTATTATTATGATTATTATTATTATTATTATTTTGTTCATGATTATTTATTATGTTGCTTGATTTATTTTGTTATTGCTTGATCACACCTTTATTGCATGTTTAAAGGGAATTGGTACTTGTAATCATGCTTAATAAGATAATTAATAATCTTGTTTAGGGTTAATTATGATTATATAATTTCAAGTGATCGCCAATAATAGATTTGTTTATGCATTAAATTCAACCATTATAGATAAACAGGTTTAGGGTTAACCTATTGATTGCATGTTAATCAGAAAGCGCACATGAATACGATCAGAATAAAGTAGAGGCCTATTATTAGGGCAGGTTCAATCTCTTTTAGGTTGGATTAGTACCTTCATCCCCGAACCCTTATTTGGTTCATGACCTTATGGAGTTGACGATCTCTTGGATCGTTAAGGGGTGTAACCTTCACCTCGTGAACGGTTTACAAGTTCCTAAAAAAACTTGTTGGCGACTCTTTTGCTCTATCTTCTTCCCTTTTGGACGCCACCGTACTTTAGTGTATGATCACAGTGAGGTTCGAGCTAGTGGGATTTTAAAGGCTTAAAATTATTCCCTACACTTACCCGACCCAAAAATTCAACCCGATCTTTTACTAATCCGACTCGAAATAAACACGACTTTTTATTGACCTGACCTAAATTCAACCCAAATTATTCCTGACCTGATTTCAAATCACCTTAAATGCAATTTAGACCACCTTAATATTGTTGATCAAATCAATTTGTCTAGAGAGACCAAGTTGGTCCTGGCCAGCAAAAGAAAGGAGCACCATCCTCAAATTTAAGAGTTAAATATACTACATCTGTTAAAAGTTATGTGGAACTTTGGAATTTTTTATATCTCACAAATAATACCCCAAAGTTGCACATAACAATTAACGAAGGTAGTAGTATTTATTTGTTGTATGGTCAAAGTAGATAATTATCTTTTTAAATTATAGACTATAATTCCCTATTATATTGTAATATATATTATAGTCAAAGGAAATAATTAGCTTGATAAAAATGATAATTATCTATTTATAATTAGTTGAATCCGAATATGACCTGAATTGGAAATGACCTGACGTGATTGTAACCTGCAAATTATTGACTTGAACATAACCCGACTTGAATCCGAGAATGACCCGACTTGGAATTGACTCAACCTGATTATAACCCGCAAATTATTGACTTGAACCGAACCCGACTTGAACCCGAGAATGACCCGACTTGATTATAATCCGCAAATTATTGACTTGAACCGAACCCGACTCAAACCCGAGAATGACCCGACCTGATACTAACCTGCAAATTATTGACTTGAACCGAACCCGATAATTACCCTAACCCGTTTTAACCTGTGAAAACCCGAATTAAACCCGACCTATTGTTCACCCGACTCGAATGTAACCCGACCTGTTATTAACCCAACCCAAACCCGATAAGAAGTATGACCCACGTGACCTGACTCAAGCATGGCCCAAATCAAACCCGACCCGCATAGGTTATGGAATTAATCTGAATTGACCCAATCCGAGTTGACCCGACCCACTTTTATCCGACCCAAATCCGAATTGACAGCTCTACTTGTAGGTAACAGGGAGTAGTGAACAATTATCAAACGTTTTTGTTTATTTTATAAAGGCAAAAGCTATTGTTGCCCCTGGGGCGTTAGATAAGAGAATTAAAATGCAAATATTAGAGTAAAATTAACATTAATTGCACCCCGAACGACGCGTAATTTTGTCATGAATTTCTAACTTAATACCATTTCAACCAATATAATTTATTCTTATGTAACGCTACGGGGCGCTCGTTAGCAAGGCCTTTTATAAATTACAAATTGAAATTTTGAAACTAAAAGTGGTTAATTCATGCTCCCACCGTCTAAAAATTCTACTTGTTTTGACAGTGCTCGTTCCAAAAAAATAGTTAGAATCGGACAATGTTTTATAAATGAAAAGAAGATTATAAAGTTTTTGATATTTATTTTGGTAAGAGTCTAAGACCAAAAATTAATACAACGTTGAGAAAAAATATCGTAACTTTGTTTTTTTTTTAAAAAAAAAAAAAATCGTAACTTTTGTACGAGTACTACGTATATTTTTTCATTTAAATAAAAATAACAAATTGACTAAAGATAAATTAAATAAGGTGGCAAGATGCACACCCTAAAGATTGCCTCAATCCATAAACTACCCTCCTACAGTCCTACTCTAGTACTCCCTAAGTAGATTGGTTGAATTCTTGAATCCTTTAAAATTTATGAGTTGGTCTACAGCTTTCTTATCTTAACCATACCAAATAATTTGGAACAGTTTGCACAAATCTTAATGATTCCACCGTACCATACTCAACCTAAATTATTCTCACTCTCACCACAATACTGTAAACTAATATCACTATGTTGCCATGTTGGCACTATCTTAATGTCTCTTTCACAGCCTAACCGTAAACCAATACTGCACTTTAATATACATTTACCACTAGTAGTGTCTAACACATCATTAATCAATCACTCTAATTAAATTACCTTGTAATTCTTTTAATGTACGCTCTTGTAAATTTGTAATTTCTAGCCATCTAGCCAATATGAGAATACGACGTATTAAGGTTTGCCATCTTTCAAGGCAAAAATGGCATACTATCTTGGGTTATTTAACAGAATACGATGATTAAAGATTTTATAAGACAAGTTTTAGAAAAGAAGACCTAATAAGAGTTGATAAAGGCTACTTAAAAATTTAAATTACATTAAAAAAAATCTCACAAGTTAAGTTAAATATAAATATAAGTGAAATTTGAATAAATTAAACACATCCTATTATCTGTATGATTTAAATTTTGACTAGTTAGAGAGAGAGAGAGGAGATAGTTAGCCACTCTATTAGCTTCATGGTTGATAGGTTAATCCTTGATGTTGTGATGAAATTGCTATTACCTTTTTGCAATTGTGGGGGAAAAAATGGATATTTATGTTGGATAAATACATCAAAATCCACTATATGTGCCTTTTGGCTTTCTTCTTGACGTCACCAATGAGGCATATGAAATCTTGAATCCAGAAAGATACTATCTTTGTTAAGGTAATGATGGTATGTAATGTGGGTGGTGCTAAAAAGGTGTTATTGCTCATTAGGATCATTGAATTCAAATTTAGCCTTCTGGATCAACTAATAAGTGTACCATAATAGCTTAGGCTTTGTTTAATTCACCTTATTTTGTTAGCTAGAAGTTATAACACTTGAACTTACATACATGTTCACAAATGTTGTTATGCAACTTATGTACACAATTATTTCCAATTAGTATTTTGATATGGCAGTATACATCAAGATGTACTTTATGTGACTGATAAATATTTACATTTAATTTCACTTATGATCTTCTAGCTCAGTTACGATTGTTGAACTAAATACATTCATATCCTTCAAAAACTTAATTAAAACTTTTAAGCTGAAACGAATTTGACCTGTGAGAAATTCCAGTCACAGAACCCCACCTTAAAAATAAACCACATATAAACAACCTAAGGACCTGTTCTCTTCAAATTATTTTCAGTTCAACTCTGTTCAGTTTAGTTCAATTCAGTTCTTAATTTCCTCCTCTCATAACATATTTAGTTTAGTTCAATTCAGTTCACTTTAGCTCCAATAAATTTAGTTTAGTTCACCACAGTACAGTCAATCAGATTAGACCCTAAATAAAGATTAATCATCTATTTCTGGCCTCCATATAATAAATCTAATCCACTAGAGTGTTGTAAAATAAAACAAAAACAGAGAACAGGTGAGAAACGGCAGATATTCCATATTCCACTAACCGACCCATTTGCATGCGTAGTGCTCATTCTTTTAATTATACATCTTCCCTCCACTCCACACACTCACACACACACACATATATATAAATAACATATTCATCTTCTCTTCCAAAATATTATAACATACTTCATTTTTCTCAACATATATATTAGAGTGATCTCCCTTAAACTTCCATTAAAAACACACATAAAAACCAACCAAAATCCCATTTATTTTCCTTTTTTACTTTACATAACACCCTTTTAATTCAATCTTCTATAAAAAAAATGGGAAATTATCTAGCTTTATGTACAATTGGTGACATACAATCAAAAGAAGCCTTATTGAAGGAAGAAAGGATTTTGCAAATAATAAAGAAGGTTGATGGAAAAGTATTAGAGTTCACAAATCCAATAAGTGTGAGAGATTTATTGGTAAGTTATCCTAATTCTTATGTTGGTATTTTTAAGGATGCTACACAACCTTTACCTCTTGATCACAAGTTGAAAATTGGTAAGGTCTATTACCTTTTACCTTCACTTGATCCAACTACTACTACGACGACGACAACGACGAAGACGACGATTAAAGTGGTGATAACAAAGGAGCAGCTTCAACAGATACTAAGTAAACAAGGGAGTGTTGAAGATTTTCTGTTAGGAGTTGTTCCTAAGAAAGATTTGAGTTCTAAGGATTGTTCTGTTTCATCTTCTACTTGGATTCCTAAACTTGAGTCTATTCCTGAAGGAAATAATGATGTAGTTTGTTGATATATTAATAATTAATATTGTGTATTATGTAATATATTATAGTTGTTACATAGATCAAAATACATATACTCATTGTAATATAGGCTTTATTTTGCTTAATTATAAATGGTGACAAGAGGAAGATATTAAACTAAAGGGAAAATATGCTAGCTAGCTTGTATGATGGAGCTCAAAATTTACCTTCAAAAGTCTGTTTCATGAATAAAATCTACAAGCTCTTTGCTAATTAATTATTCAATTGTGCCTTTATTGTATTTTATTTATTAAAAAAAAAACAAAAAAAAAACAAACAAACAAACATTAGCAAAAATTTTCTTAGCAATACCGTGTTATTTCATAATAATGTTTAAAAAAAAAAAACAAGTTGAACACAACAATCATCACCTTGTTAATAAAGTCTGATTTTGGCCTAATGGTTAACATACGACACTATATACGAAGTATATTCTTGAACGTGCATGCAGTGTTTAAATCGTATTTCAATCCTAAACGTACAGTGTTTAAATCGTATTTCAATTTATGTATGTTACTTTTTAAGTATCTTTCAATTACGACGATAAAAATGACGTCGATTAAAAAGTAACTACAAAAACTAAACCTGTAGTGTTACGTACGTTGTTACTCATACATAATTAACCCGTGATAAATGGGCCAATAGAAAGATCCACTCTCCCATACATTCACAAGAGTCACACATTGAATACCATGAAATCTTTCCTTGTGAAATTGCCAACTCTACGAAAACTTAACTGTCTATCACATGTGATGTATGAGTGTAAATACATTCTTATTTGTAGTCAAGAAGGAGGCTTACAACACGGAAGTAAATGCCTATAAATTATGGGCAAAACTAACAACTATTCAAAATAAGGCCAAATATAGGGGGTTGCAAAGATAAACAAGTTGAGATCACATGCTTTGTTGCCATAATAAACAGAAACAAAAGCAAAGGTGTTATAGTTGGGTTCAATGAACAACTTTTATTATGCTATAAGTTGTTGAATTGCAGCTTAATTGACTTGATTAAACAATATGGATTAGGCTTAATTAGAAGCGTTTTCCAACATAAAAGAATGACACACCATATTCCAGCAGCTATACTTTTCAAATACTTCTTTATGCAGCATTATGTGGGTCCTATAGATCTTTCTTTCTAGGATCTTTGCCTACTAAAGTACAATCTTGGGTATAATGAGGATTAGAAAGAGAATATCAGAAGATCCACATTTGGAGCAATATTTCTTTTATTCTAAACCGTATGTTTTGTGTGCAGTTGACCACACCTGTTGTGATGTCTTAGACTATTGGCTTTGACTTTCATGATGAGATTTTGATATGAGATGGTTATGGGCATCATCCATGACTCCTAAGACCCTTTGGAAATCCATGGAAGTACTTGGATGCATAATCTTGCCGGGTGAAAAAATAATGTACGGAGCCAAATAATACACGAAATCAGAGCAATTTAGTAGGTGTCCGGACCAGGTGTCAGAAATTCACAGAATTTTACGGGATGCATCCCGAGGACATATGATGTTGTTTGGACCCATATACATCCATAAGTTGGCTACATAAAGGCCCCGTGGAAGCTTATAACCAATACAAGTGGCGTGTACGAAAACTGGTAAATTGCAAGGTTAAAGGCAAATTGGATGGTTTCACCCACCCAGTTGGATTCCCGCAGGGTATTAGGGTCTATAGGTAGCTTCTCGGCAATTTTTGTTTCCGGCTCAAAAAAAGTCAAAAATTGGCAAAATTGAAGGCTATAATACACGCTTTTTGGCCAAGTACGGAGGTTTCGGGACCGGTGTCGAAAAGTCTTGAGATACTAGGGGATGTTATATAATGTCGTTTGGAACCATATATGATCATTATATGTTGCCATAAATGTCCGTGGTAGGCTCGAGTTTATGAAATCGGTGCAAGTTGTATACGGGAAAATCGACAATTTGAAGGTATATTGGATGATTTTACCCACCTAAATGGACTCGCGGGGTGTATTAGGGTCCATGGGAAGCATCTCGGCAATTTTTATTTCCGAGTCTAAAAAAGTGAAAAATTGTCCAAAATTGAAGGTTATAATACACGATTTCAGGTCATTTTTTGACATTTTTTCGAAAACTGAACTGAATAGATGGGGTGACTCCTGGAGTCATATAAGGTGGTTTGAAACCATAACACACCTATAAAGATGTCTATAAAGTACCAAGAATGAGTTATATAATGATGTCATAAAAGTATATTGAATTGATATTACTTGACAATAATGATGTTATAAAATAACAATATAATTTCTATAACATTAATTAACCAAGTAACCCCTATATCATTGACTGAGTAACCCCTATTACTCTGACTAAGTAACTCCTATAACACTAACCAAGTAACTCCTAGGATTGGCCGCACGATGTGGCCATCCATATATAATAATTTGTGTTAATTATAAGAGCATCATGGAGTTATTTTAAAGATCATGAGAATATTTATAAAAATTGTAACATTTCATACTAAATCCATAGGCGTGTATATAATGGAGGATGTGGTATGTTGGAAGACTTAAACTGCAATAACTAACATTATTATTCTTTTATATACATAAAAAAAATATTTCAAGGAACTTCATAATCATAATTGATCGATTCATGTACACAACACAAGTACACAACAACTTTATCATGTGACTAATTTTAAAGGTTCGTTAAAATTGCAATCCCTTTACCAATTTGAGAAGGAACTCCTCCTAAGCTGCAAACTGCGTGCCTAGGGGTGGATCTCATTTGTCTATATTATAGTTTTTCTTCTAGTTGTACCGCAAGTCATGCCTTATCATCTAACAAATTAGGTTTGATAAAATGATTACATACGACACGTACCAATTACTTTAAAACACATACTTGTATATATTTAAACAATTTAGTATATATAAATTATCAAGTAGGATGTTAAATACAGTTATGAGATAACTAAAGAAAACAAAGGGAGTATGTATTATGTAAGTGCTTGAGAGATACTATCATTATGATCGATAGCCATTTGCGAGGGCTTTTCCTCTACAATTTCAGGAGGCCAAAATGATCTACATGGGACCTATGAGATTAGCTTTTAACCCCACTTGGTTAAACACAAACGAGTTTTTTATGTTTCCCATTTTAAATCACTATAAAAATTAGTTGATTTAACGAATATTATTAAATATTGATGGTCCACCACTAGTTGTATACTTGTGTTATGACTTGTAAGTTGTAACAAGACCTTTCCCTTTAAAAGAATAAAAACTAATAAACCCTACTTTAATTAGAAATCAAGGACAAGAAATCTTATCTAGACCCATAACTTAGGCTAGCTAGCTAAGCAACTTAAGCTACATAATATGTTGAAATTAAAGTATGAATGGAATTTCCAAAGACTAATAAGAAGTATTTAGGCAATGCCTAAAATAGCTTAGAAATGGCCCACACTAAGGTCACTAACCGTCCTAAGTTGCATGCGTGTTTGACGATTCAAGTAAATTACTACATCCCTCACTTTTCTCCCTTCTATTTTTGTCGTTTATTTCACTACTCACTGCACGCTCTGTCTCCTTTTGTTTGTCCTATTAAAAAGTAACCACTAATTAGCATTTTGATTAAGAAAAATTAATAAGAAAATGAAATTAATTTATGCATGGGATCAAATATAATGAATATAAAGATCAACAGCGAACCTTTTATGGTCATTTATAAAATGAGTCTAGCTTAAATGGATAAATCGAAAAAGAAAATGAAGCAAAATTGAGACGGAAGAGTATAATACTAAATAAATTTTCCTTAACCGTCTCTTCTTTATTAAACCTCTAAGCCCATCATGCCTTTTCTCAACTGAAGTAGATCACTTAAACCCAAAAAAGAACCGCCTCTTCACACAAAGTTGTCCGACTTTTTAGTTTAACCCCTTTATTAACTCACTCTTCTTCAATGATATAAACCTTGCTTTCACTTCTTATATTTCACCAAAACTTCACCATATCTATGCATTTCATAGTCAATCAACACATTAAATTCAATGGGGAACTTGCTAGGGTTATGCGCGGTAGGAGGCTCAACATCGAACCAAGACAAGGTGTTACAAGTTATGAAGGTCCATGATGGAAAGATACTAGAGTTTAGAGCTCCAATAAAAGTAAAGGATTTGTTGAAAAACTATCCAAATTTTTATGTGGGTTTATTTAAGGAAGCTACCCAACCTTTGCCCTTAGAATACAAGTTGAAAGTTGGGGAGATTTACTATCTTCTTCCTTGTTTTAGTGCTACAATTGTTGAGCCTACTAATATAGGTAAAGTTTCTTCATCATCTCCTATTTCAAAGCCAAGAAATGGTGTTGTAAGGATCAAAATGGTTATAACAAGAAAACAACTTCGACAACTCTTGTCGAGTCAAGCTATGAGAGTCGAAACAATGCTCTTGGAGATCGGTAAGAAATCGTGTTATCCCGTTGTTATGTCGTCGTCTCATTTGCAAAAGCTACAGCCTATTGGGGAAGAAAGTGAGTGAAAATGGAATTTGGTTCTTAGTTGCACACTTTGGTACGTACGTACGAAGAATTGATGCAAATCATGCAATAGAATGGGGTGCAAAACTGAAATGTAGCTTAAGAGCATGTATATAGTAGATAATGAATCTTTAGAACGTATATTTTCACATCAAACAAAAAAAATCTTCGTCTTTTCAGATTATTGTCTAGATTTAGTAATGAAAACAGGGGAAGCAAACATCTTTTGAGGTATTTAATCCTCAAAATACTTGTAATTTTATTATTTTATACGTGTATATTGTACAACTCAACAAACTTACAATATTATATATAAATTTATATATATATTAGTACACGACGCATATGATAAAAGTTTGTTTCTCATAATATAACTCCTAAATTAGTAGATATTTTGTACAAAATAATATATAGACTAAAGACACAAGTTGGAAGTATACGAAACAATTTTGCTCTACGAAAAAATAAAATCTATCTTCTCATTTTAAAGTGTTTGTAACTAAAAAATAAAGCGATAAAGTACTTAATCGCTCTAACATACACAAGAATATATGCCATAATTCTTAAGGGGATTTGCTTGGTGATGTATTTCCTAGGGATGCTTTACCCTTGATTGCAATAGGGCTTCTCACAATGTGCTTCCCATCTGACCACACCAAACTTCCGAAAATATAACCGGTGGGAAGTTGGTTAACATCGGCGGAGAAGATGAGCTTAAACGTTAACTCTTGATCCTTTTGACAGAACACCAAAGTCTTAGGTTCCACCACAATCGAAACCCCGGGTGGTGTTTGTATGGTTGCAGTATAGGTACCTGGCTCTCCAACATTTTTCAACTTTCGTGTAGCAATTGCTGCGCCAGTGAAATCAGGAATACTTATAGAGGGATAGTTGAAGTCCAAGATATTGAATGATTCGGGACACTTGTAATCGTGTTGTTTAGTGAACAGTTTAAGAAGTGTAGTGTTATAATGGTGTGCACATAGGAAGTTGAGGTAGTCATAGTGATTCATGTCGTAAACTAGTCCAGGGTCCATTGCTAGGTTGGGTTGTATGAGGCCTGCGCCGTAAGCAAATGGTGTGGCCTCGCGTATCATGTCATCTTCAAAAATTGGCTTGTCGTTGTTGTCTACTGAGCTCGCTACATACACCAGAATAGACACGTACAACTGATTATTAATAAATATCATGTGACGTGAAATTTTACTTACATATGCATCAAACTGCTATGGTGCACACGTGTACCATCACATATAAAATTTGGAAATAGTTAAATGTGAGGGCGAGGGGTTGAACTAAAAATGTAGGTACACTCGAGTGCATAAGAGATTAAATGATGAGTCAATTACTAATATTTCATTCTATGCAAACGTACCTGTAGTCATGATTGCAGATTTGATGGCGGAGGTGGTCCAGAGAGGATACATTTTTCTAAGAAGAGCAGCAATGCCAGTGACATGAGGAGCTGCCATAGATGTCCCGGACAAGGGTAGAAACTTATCAGGCAACGGAACATTCGGAGCTTCGGTATAAGCTGCCACAATACTTACTCCAGGAGCTATCACATCAGGCTATGGTAGATCATATATGAGAAAACATACATTCAGTAACATAATAGAAAACACTAGTTGGAGTGAATGAAGTAAGAAAACACACCTTAATAATCTCTGGGGTGATTTTGTTGGGACCTCTAGAAGAAAAGTATGCAATTATTGGAGCAGGTTTTATCCCCAATTCAGTTCTTGCTCCAGTAATTGATGCAATAGGATCCCTGTAATTGGACTTCGAAATCAACTTATTCTCTATAAAATGCAAGTACGCCATGATGGAAAGAACAACATACTCGATATGTCCAAAAAAAAATTGTGATCTAACAAGTTACATGACAACTAGATCCAAGTTAATACCAAAGGATCAACTAAACCAGAAGACTTTTATGTGAAGGGGCGTAATACAGTATAAAACCAATCTTGAACACTAAACATAATCTTTTGGTTGAGTTGGTCCTTTGTTAATTGAAAAAAATGCACGAGTAGTAAAGAAGTGAAGCAGGGGTCGAGATGAATTCTTGCCTCGTAGAGCTGATATAAGAAAGAAGAGCTTGACCATCATCGAATTTCAATTGAGTGGTAGGGAGAGGATGAATCATATCGGGAAGCATTTTAGATCCAACAAATTGATTATTCGCGATGATGAGGCCTAGAGCTCCAGTTTGTAACGCAACCTTGCTCTTTTCGCTCTTTTCTATCATACGACCAGGACCCTCCAAGAGACAAACTAGAATCTTCCCCTTCACCTTCACTGGATCAACAGTTCCATGCTTACAGTATGATCTGATCTAGATTATCGATACATAATAAAATATGATTTTGGACAAAAATTTAAATGCAATGAAAGTGATCAATATAGTATTATTTCAATAGTTTTTATTGAGTACTCACGCTTTAATTGGGTTAGCGCCATTGATGCGGGCACTTGCACCGGTGATTAGAGGGTAAAATGAAGTACCATTTAGACTGTTTTTGCCATCTATAAACCGCGAAGCCTGCATATATTGATTAGATTCAAACCATATATATAAGTTCGATCTTAAAAGTGGATTGATTAGTGTTAGTTTCGAATAAACTCCTTTTTTGATGATACACATCAACTTATAGTCTCAATTATACACAGATCCTCAGTCTTTGTCACTAGGCTAAGGCCTCATCAGTACTTACTTTATTCATCTTTATGTACACTCGGCCACATGTTCTCACTATCCTTCTATGCAAATTTATGATAAGTGAGAAGGAAAAAAAAAAAAAAACAAAATTAAGCAATGAAAAAGAAGAGTAGAGTTCAAGTAAGAATTACATACCCTAATCGTTTGGTTGTTTCCTAAGACGACGCAACATGTAAACTCTCTACCAATAGTACTAGCACCGACGGTGAGCATCCAAGGGGCAATATTGTTAACAGACCCCGAAGATGGTCCACTGTTTCCGGCAGTGGCAACGACAAGGGTACCATTGGCCATAGCATGGAAAGAAGCTATAGACAAGGCATCCTTAAAATAAAAATCACCGCCTTTCATGGAATCTTGGATGGTAAATCCTAGAGATAAATTGATGATGTCTACACCATCGAGGATAGCAGCCTCAACTGCTGCCAAGCAATCCATGAAAGATCCTTCCCCTAGTTTAGAAGCGGCTTCTGGCCATAACACCTTGTATGCAACCACTCGCGCCTTTGGTGCTCCACCTTTTATGGTGCTATATCTTAGCCCTAACATAGTTAAAGACGTTGCATCTGCTTCTAGGACAACACTTCCTCCGGCAGTGGATAATGTGTGTGTCCCATGCCCCCCCATGTCGCGAGGGCTAGAGTTTGTAGCAAAGGTTAGGTTTTTGGATGTTAGAGATTGGACATACCCTTTGTTGAAGTATCTTGCACCAATAAGTTTCCTATTCATCACATAATAATTTGATTCAACTCAATGTGAAATGAGAATTACAATTTTTTTATATATAGTAACTTCTTATGTTACACACCATGTCAAACAAACATAATAAACTTCTTAGTTCCAACATAATGCATCAAAAAACTTGTTCATATGATAGACATAAATCGTCGAGTTTCTTGTACAAATACTAACCTGTTGCACTTGAATGATGGATCATTAATATTGGAACAATGACCTCTAAACTTATTGGGGACGATTCCAAGGCCTTCATCCGAGAAGCTCTTGGATTCGGGCCAGACACCTATCACATACATACAATTTTAGAACATAATACGTTCTTGATACTCAACTTCACAAAATATATTCTAACAATGATCAATGATCGATGTACAAAGTACTATACAAGAGAAATAAAACTTGCCAGTATCGAATGCTCCTATGATAATGTCTTCTCCAAAGGAGGCTTTCTCCCAAATAGATTCTTTAGAAGGGATAACTTGATGCTGAAATGATCCTAGGAAATCCCATGACTGAATTGTTTGTCGTCTAACATTAAGATTTTCAAAAATCGATATAACATTAGGATGCTCTGCCATAAAAATATTTATGAAAAAGGGTCAAAGTTTTAGATTTACATGCAAAAAATTTAATCAAATTAGTATGTATATCATTATATCTTACTTGCAAGTTCCTCAACCTCTTCCTCATGTAGAGTTGCAGCAAAACCATTAAATATTTTTGCATAAGAGTAAATTAGCTTTTTTGAAGGGTCATCATGACCATTGTCGTTCCTAATGAATGTCCATAAAAAAAATTTCGAATTAGTGATGGTAGACGTTAAATGTACTTTTTTTATAATAGATTGGAGAGTACATTTAGATCTACCTATAGATATATACCTCTTTGACACATTGGAAATCATATCATGGTGTGATCTTGTCACATCCGCGGGATCTCCTAACAAAGGACGTCCACCATCGAATGATCCTAAATAAACAATGTAATGCTGCAAGAGATAAAGTTAAAACTTTACATAGTCTTCCCCTCAATAAACTTTACAAAGAGGGTAATCGAAACAAGTTATCTCTTGTTCTTAACCCCAAAATATAAGCGATTTGATAAATTATCTACAAAAAATGAACTTAAGACTTGCCTTATAAACAGCAACAACAGGTGCTTGCAATAGTGGTAAAAGAAGAATCGATAATAAACTATGTAGAACGATTGAATGCCCCATTATATTGTATTCCTTCTAGTTGAATTGCTTCTTTTAGTTCTTCTCCTACTACCCATAAATTCTTGAAGTTTGAAGGTTTTTTGTTTTATCAATAAAAAATTTCAAAATATTCAAGATCCATTGTTGTGCTCAAAGATGATTGCAACCAAGAGAATAGGAATGTCTTTCTCAATTCTTCTAACATGTGGATTAGTTTCATAACACATTATATTACGGAATATGATTTCAACCACTAATAATGATTAAGTCTACATTGTAGGAAATCATTATGCTTTTAAACTTGCCTATTTAGCAAGTGTGAATATCAAATGGTACACTTGGCACCGAATAGTAGAAGTAGATTTAAGATTACTCCGTATTAAATTGGTTAGACATAGACAATATTTATTTTCAATTCAATGTGCATATGTATCATTTAGTTTTATCCTCTACTCGTAATTACAATAGATTGGATTGGGTAATTGGGGGCAAATTAGCTTGAAAACTTGACTATTGTGTATAAATTCAAAGAGTTCATACATTTTCATCTTAAACAAAAATACCCTTTTTACTTGAGATTATCTTCTAGCTTAGAAATGGATAAAACATATCACCCAAAGTCTTTTGGAGGTAATCAACTAATCAATCGAGTAAACGTTTGTAAAAATCTTATTTTATATCATGTAAATTTTAATTAACGAGTACACATTCTTACACAAAACGTATGCATTGTTTTACAACTTTGATCCTTAGACATTATTCAACTATGACAATATTTTTCACTGGATTTGTACATCAATAACCTTGCGTTCAACTTTAGGCTTAGGAACCGAGATGTTAAGAACACCATTCTTAAGCTCGGCCTTAATCTTATCCAACTCACAATTATCAGGCAATTGAAGCCTAGTATCATATGAGCTATAACTTCTTTTACTCCATGCATCGTCACCTCCTTCTTCCTTCTTGCGCTCTCCTTTGATGACAAGCATGTTATCCTCGACCGACACCTTGACATCCCCCTTGTCGAGCCCCGGCATGTCGAACCTCATCTTGTACTCGTTCTCGTCCTCCATGATGTCCCATGGAGCTCGCATTTCGCCCATCCTAGTTGGAACTGTCATTGTGTCCTCGAACAGACGGTCCATTGTGTCCAACATTTGGCGCATTGATCTCATGGGTGACAATGAGTCGATCAATCCTGCAAATTTTAATTTTTTAGCATCAAAATTTTCACGTTTTAAGAATTTGGAGCATACATTAGGAATTTAGAATAATAACAGTAACATGGCTTCCCTGTTTTCCCCTGCTTTCCCCTGTTTTCCCCTGTTTTATATTATTCTGTATTTTGTGTTAACAATATATACTGTTTCTAATATAAATAAAATAAAATAAAATAAAATAAAACAAAATTAATAGTTATTGTAGAGATAACATGCATAACATTAACATGTAATGTCAAAGTTTCAAAAGATGGTACATAAAACTTGTGATCAAAATTAGGTACAAAGTATAAGACTATACAAGTTACGTATGTATGCACTAAACCGCATATATAAACTAATCTTAGGCTTCAACCATCAGTTTAACCTTTTGGCTGAGATAACTCGTTAACGCCAATATTAGAATAAATTGTTCATACTATAAGGTTGTCTAATAAATAAAATGTACCATAACAAGAAAGAGCAAGTTTAACTCACCAAAGGGAGACATGTCGACGGCAAGCCTTCGAGGGCGGCGTTCGACAGCCGAAGACTGTTGTCTGTTGGTGTTTTGGACTTGTACATCAACATGATGACTACCCTCTTTATTTTGTTCTCCACCTTGTTGTGCTCTTACAACCAAACGTGACCCCAAAGAAGGTTTCTTTGGTGCTGGAAAAGTCACAGAACATGGGCCTAATCCAACTAGTTTGCTAGATGTTGTTCTGCTTGAAACTAGTGGTGCAGCTGATGATGCACTGCATGTAATACCCTTGATTGCCATTTTTTTGTACAATTTTTTTGTACAATTAGCTTGTAAATAAAAGTGATTGTAACTCTTTTAGATTAAGATTGAATTTGACGAGTTGTTTGTAGATGTTGATGTGTTTGTGTTTTGCTGCTTGTTTGAGAGATGAGATGAGTGAAGTGGGTTTATATAGTAGAAGGAGAGAGAGTGTGTTTTTGTTGAGAGTAATCGTGAAGGTTTGAGTGCAACTATGAAGTTTCTGGGTTCTTATGTTATACGGTGTCGTTTTGTATGTTCTGGTTTTCTCTCTTTTATTCGGGAAGTGTCTTCATCTTGCTAGAGGACCCCTCATAATCTCAATTGTGTAGGGAAAACTTTTTTTTTTTTTTTTATTTTTATTATTATTATTATTATTATTGTCGTACTCATCTAATCTAATATTTATTTATATAAATAAAGTAGGCATTTTTCGGGAGCATTTGACGCGCCACATAAGAAAAGGTATTATTTTGACCAATGAAATTTTAGATTAATAATTTATTTTAGAATTAAAAAATTCACTCGCCACCTAAGAAAAAGTGACGAATAATATTTAAGAATATTGCCACCTAGGTAAAAATAACGAATAGTGAACAACTAAAATTTTAATTATTTAAAAAACTAATAATTATTTTTTTTACCAATATGGATGTAAATCTTTGATCGTAAATATTTTTAATCTCTCCCTAGAAAAATTATAAAAATTAGATTTTAAAAAAGTACTCATCGAAACAAATAAAACTAAATCTCATATCACTATGTTTTTCCTTATATACAAAGAGAAATTTAGAAGATTCCCCCTAATCTTTTTAATAGTTAAAAAAATTTAGATGAGACTAAGGCCCTCTTCTTTTCATCTTAAAAAAAATAATATTAAGTAAAAATAATTTCAGTTCAGTAAAATTAATTTCAGTTCAGTAAAATTAATTTTAGTTCAGTAAAATTCAGTTTTCTTAAAGAAGAGTTGTAATATAAAATCAGTAAAAATAATTTAAGTTCAGTAAAATTAATTTAAGTTCAGTAAAATTAATTTCAGTTCAGTAAAAATAATTTCAGTTAAGTAAAAATAATTTTAGTTCAGCAAAATTAAGGTGAATCAAACAGGGCCTAACATTTTGAAAGAGAACGAGTATATAAAAAAAACGCATTTGCAAAGGACTTATTTTAATCAATAAATAAAATCATTTGTCATTTATTTTTTATTATGCAAAATTAAAGAATAAGGTTTGGAATTTTAAATTCGCCACGTAAAATAAATAAACCTACGAAAGATAATTTTAGTGTTAAAATTTAAAAAATTATCTTATGATATTAGGAATTTTATTCAAATATCCGACGAATGATCTTCATATAAAAAAAAATCTTAAATTAAATAAAAAAATTTACTAGAACCGTGCATCACACGGGCTTATATCTAGTTGATGACTATAATGAGCAACCACCAAATAAGCTAAATGAGTGAGACTTGACCCCTAAATTCAGCCTGAAAGTCGAAGAGTTAGCCAATTATTATTCTACCCTCCTATCTCGTCTCAATTTGACTACATGGGTTGTATATATTTGTTGTTTCATACTCGAATCACTTCTAATGCAAGATCATATATTACCTTATTGATGTTCTTGAGTTAAGCTCTTCAAAACCCCTATGTAAGAATTCTTAAGCCAAACTTAACTACTAAAACCTTTTTAGCTAACAAAGATAAAAGAAAACAAGATCACCACAAAAACCCTACACGCAATAAAGTACTTCAAAATTAACCCTGGTAAATTTTAACACTTTGATTATAAGGTAATTAGTGTACATACAATGTGTTTTTATTATTAATTAAACTTTTTTAAAGGCAACACTATGATCAAACATTTACATGAAAAAATTAATTCAAATATATTAGGAAAATTCTCAATGGTAATACTAAACTTTTTAATTTTCTCAGTGGTAAATTGCAAAAAATTTTATTATCCTTGGTAAACTTTAATTTATTATAATTTTCAATGGTGAACTTAATGATAAATTTTAACTTAATGTTTAACTATAGTTAGTTTTTATTTCATTTTTATTTTTTTTACATTTATTTTAGATTTTTTTACTTTAAAAAATTACCCATCCCTAACAATCAGCCACTTCTCCCCCGCCCCACTCATGCAACGCCCAGCCTCCCCTTCACCGGCGCACCGACCTCCCCCTACCGCACCTCTCTATTCCCCCTAAATCGCCAGCCCCTCACATAACTGAGTGAAATCAACACCCTCAGCCCTAAAACCCCCTCCTTGAAATCCCAAATTCTAGATCAATCTCTCATCCCTAAATGAAATCAGATAATTGGGGCTTCGGGATGGTCGAAAATCATGGGTTTCTCCAATTCTCGAAGCTTTAGGTGCAGGAGGGGTGGGGAATCGCTACAATTGGTTGCGGAATTGCTGTTTGCGGTGGCGAATTGGTGATTGCGGGATATAGAGGGCGATTGGTGTTGCGGGCTATTGGAGTGAGAATTGGTGGCTGTTCGAAGGTGTGGTTTGGTGGCGAATCGATGTAATTGACGGTGTTGTTGGTGGGCGAAGCGGCAATAATTGGGTGAAGGTGGTAGTTGTGGTTGGTTGTTGTTGTGTCTTTCGATGGCTGACATTGTAGTGGCTGAATGGTGACTGTTTTTTGTTGTTGTTATTGTGGGTTGTTGTTGGCAGGTGCGGTGGGTTGTTGTTAGGTGCGGTGGTGGCAGTTCAAAGGTTGTTTGGTGGTGTACCGTGAATGTGCAACAAGGTGTGGCAGGTGGTTGAAATGGTGGTTGTTCGGTGTTTGTGTTCTTGTTGGAAAGGTGAAGAGGAAGAAAGAGATGATGATCTTGATGACGATATGTTGAGTTTGAGTGAGGTGATGACATTTTAGGGATTTGAGTATATTAAGTGAGGATATTTTTGGAATTTTTATTTTTTTTATTATAAAAAGATGTTAACCATGGTTTTATATTAACTAAATTGCTTCATTAAGTTCACCATTGAAAATTATAATAAATTAAAGTTTACCAAGGATAATAATAATTTTTGTAATTTACCATTTAGAAAATTAAAAAGTTTAGTGTTACCATTGAGAATTTCCCAATATATTAACTAAAATAAAACCACACAAGCACAATAATATTTACTTAAAATCTTTTATACTATACTCTAAAGTACGTACGTAATAAGTTCTCACACCTATACATTAATATAAACCAGTTTATTTTGTTACAACTTACCGGACGTCTATGTATGATCTTCTACAAACATCTATATTGTTAGAAGTGTAAACTAAATTGGTAACGCTATACTGCTATAGTTAAATCCGAATGAGTAGTTGACTAATAGTTCAATATAACACTTTGCACTAGCTAAAGCGCCCACAACCTGCCACCACAAACCACAAGCAAGAAAAGTAATCCAAGCACTACAATGGTACAGCATCTGGATCCCAAAACTAACCACGTAAAGACAAACAAGCACTAAACATATAAGTACTTGAATGATGCTGCAAACTCATATAATTGTCCTTCGATAGTTCTTACTAGTTATACTAGCATCCAGCAACAAGTACCATTTGAACTAACAGTAAAAATACTGCTACATAAATAAAAATTGAGCACGTGAAACCATTAGAGTTTCTCATCAGATACCTCAATAAGAGTACTTTATATAAAGGACATTAAAGCATAGCTCATTCTCTCTCTTTTCCTTTTCTTTATCCAGCCTTCAATGGTCTCGAGGCACCTTTAATTTTCATACACTCGTTCATTTAATTTTATCCTGTTTCTTTATTTACTACTCCGTATTAGTGAGAAAAAAGACATAACTTGCTTTTGAAACAAACAACTATTTGTCTCACTAAAAGAATTCTATTTGATGATTTTGATCCTTCTATACTCCTATGATCCTATCCGTACATTTGTTTGTAGGTGGAACTTTTTACATTGTTCAACTCTTTGATCAATGTGGTACACTTGTATATGTTGTTTAAAAAAAGCTATACTTCAACTCGTCTAGCTACTTAGGATCTGAATTGAGCTAAATTGAACTGAACTGAAGTGATATAAGCTGAAATGAAGTATTTTACGAGAGAAGGAAATTAAGAGCTTAACTGAACTATAATTAAGCTGAAGTGAACAGGCCCTTAGGCACATGCTCCGTATAGATTAAAAAGCAATCTTTCGTCTAATTAAGATTCACTCAGTGTTGCCTATAAGTCTATAACATAGATAATTTCGATACAAGAAAAGATTCAATGCAAAATCAAGGACCACACATCCTCATTTGAGGTGTCAAAACCTCACCCAACCCAACTTGATTCGAAACCGACCCGAAAAATATCTGATTTGGATCTGGACTCTCGTAGACACAAAAATTTAGCATGAATAAACTTTAAAAATTGACATGATTTGATCATCCGAATTGACACCTCTAATCCTCATAAATAGCGGAGCCCAAAGGCCAATATCTATTTTGTACTACCTTCATCTGCATTTATTTAGCCATAACATCTATACTTCTATACTTTATTAGTATTTAAAAACACAAACCATAATTTTTCATATGACACATGTCATCACAAGTCACTCACTACCACACATGACACATGTCACCCCTTTTAATCTTTTAGTTTAAGTCTTTATACATTCTATAACTTGCAAATTCAATTAAGAAAATGAAGTGTTTCATTTACATCGTAATAAAATAAAGTTGAACCAATTAATATACATCACATAAACATATGAATTGAATTATATAAAAATTGTCTTTTCAGCTAATAGACTTAAAATATAACTTAAACCAATATGTCATTTCATATCCTATAGTCTTCATGTATATATATGTAACTAAATTCTTTTATCTTTTTCCCCAGTTCTACCATCTTTCTTTTTTTCCTTTTAAGTTTTAGCAATGAAACAATTAGTTCGTATTTCATATCACAAGTTTCAACTATTGAAAAACGTACTTACATATGAAATAACCTAAATATGAACCCGTGCATCGAACGGGCCAAAATGCTAGTTGTCATTTAAAATACACTAGGAGTACATGACAATTGATTCAAATATAGGGAATAATAATAGTTGACTGCTACCGTGTGGTTAAATCATGATTCTTCCATTTAATCCACTCATATAAGTGAGGTACATATGTTACTCATGATACACAATGAGATTATTAGTACACACAATTCACTCATTTTTGAATCAATTTTGTTAATTTTCAACATGATCTTGTATACTTCCTCCATCAATCTCTTTCTCTCTATATATATAAAACTTTAAACACGATATATTATTACTCAGAGTCGTACAAGTATAATATTTTAATTGTTACGAAGTACTCCATAGTATATATAAACAAGTGACTTTAAATTCACATATGTACACCCTAGTGGACCTAACTGTATTTCAAAGTTGTTCAAATCCACAAACCTTCTTTAATCTTTTATTTCCTTTTGCAGCAAACACCCGACAGAAGAACTTGTGCACTTTTTTGTTGTGCAGAAGTTGTTTTAAAACAGTAGGCATATTTCAAGTACCAACCTGCTTCCTAATTTTAGTTTACAATGACATTTCATTTAGTACACCCTTCACATTTTCATCACTAAGAAAAATTCTATTTTAACTCTCTCTATTTCAATGAATATACTCTTATCACCAATTATTTCTTTGTTTGTACCCACTTTTGCATTTTAATACCACTAACAAAATCATTCTCAAAAGCATCCTAAGCAAATGTTACTACTATAGCATAGATACATACACCTTAAGGTTTACTTCAGGCAATCTAGTTATTCTAAGTATGGGGAAGAATGGTGGAAGTTCTTCGTGGTTTAGCGCGGTTAAGAAGGCGTTTAGGTCTCCTAGTAAAGATAAACAGAACAATAGTGATAAGAGAAGTTGTAGAAGTGAAGATCTTGAGCAACAAGAACAAGAAAAAGTGATCATTTTCATTCATTATTTATATGTACTTAGTTCTTGTCAATCATTTTTTTTATTATTGTGTCTTTGGATTTGATGTTGTAGCAGAGAAGAGGAAAGCGTAGGTGGATGTTCGGAAAGCCCTTAAACACAAATGACGCGACAAAGGTTACAAATATAAAGAGTCATGCTAGAGAAAATGCTGGTATTGGAACACCAAATGTGGCTGCCTCGGAGGAGGAAAGAAAGAATGCCATCGAGGTGGCTATGGCGACTGCTGCAGCTTCTGAGGCAGCAGGCCAGCAGTTGCGACAGCTCAGGCTGCAGTTGAGTTTATCAGGAAGACTAGACCATGCATTTTGGTCAAAGAAAATCAAGCTGCTGTTATCATTCAGAAAGCCTTCAGAGGATATCTGGTAGGTTGGGGCCCTCTAATTTCCCCTAGCATTTCTTTGCTCTTTTATCACCTGAAATAGGTTTGCATATGTAGTGTCTCTACTGATGTTACTGAATGTGGTAAGACTTCAGAAACTAGCAGTTTCAGGGTCTTAGTGTGCATGCTGAAGCTGAAGTCTAAATTGCTTCATTTTTTTCTTCAGAGTCTTGAAAATTGTGGAAATTTATTGGCACAGAATTTTTAATGTTGTCATCATTTTTCTGACTGACTTGGTGTAATCTTGTGTGTTTGAACCAAAATCAAGGTAATTTTGTGTTGTAGAATTAATTGAATTACTGATTCATTGTTTTGTTATTACTACAAAGTGCGCGCCTTTCTGACAAATTTCTGTTGTGGCTGAGAAATCTATGTAATTAGGTTCATGGCTCAAGGTTAAGTTGTTTTTTAAACTATCATTGTGCTTTCTATTGGAATTAACAGGATTAAACAAAGCCCTGTCTATTCACTTTAAGTGCACTGAAACTGATTTTACTGGGAATTAGTGAATTTTTTTACAGTGTGATGTAAGAAAACTTCTAATCTAACCACCTTAGATAAATGCATTTGATACTCTTATTGTTTATCATGTTTTAGTCCATGCAATACATGGGTTTGATAGATTAATTGGTGTAAAATGTGAAAAACTTCCAGGCAAGACGAGCATTAAGGGCACTGAAAGGGCTGGTAAAGCTGCAGGCATTAGTAAGAGGTCACAATGTGAGGAAGAGAACAACATTGACTCTAACGCGTATGCAAGCTATCTTTCGAGTTCAAGCTAGAGTTTGTGATCAACGTCGTAGACTTTCAATCTCACGCGAGAGCAGCCTCAGTTCCAGTTCTTTTACTGATAAAATTCCCCTGGTAAGTTTAGTGTTTAACCAATTTCAGCTCCCAAGTTTTGATGTTTGAACCTTTTAGTGATTTTACTTGTTCCTGTATGTTGTAATGCAGTCTAAAGACGGCGAATGGGATGAATTTCAGAGTGTTGAAAAAGAAATCGACTCGAGTTCCATCCTTGGAATGACCCAGGAAGATGTTTGGAAATCTGAAAGGGATCTTGCTTATGCCTTCTCTGACAAGGTTCTCCATTTCTTTCTCTGTTGATTCAATTTACTAATGCTGCTTTTTGTGCTTTAGTTTAAAGATGTAATTAAAGAAAAACAAGTTTAGAATCTAGATAACTCTTACCACATGTTCACATTCCTTGTACATGAAGAAATTAGTCCCCTTTTTTGCTACAAACCCAGGAATCTTCCAAACCAATCAATCCAACCACATGTTCCAAACTTCACTGCTCTCTGCAGCTTTAGTTTATTTCTTTTTTCGAAAATGAGACGAGATCATAATCAGTTCCTATGTGTTCATTTTTGTTTCATCGGCAGATGTGGAAGTCTCGAATGAAAGAATCCGACGAAATACCAGATGGGGCTGTGGATTGGAGGGAAGCGATTCGATGGGAAAGACCAGGCAGATACTCTTGTGATCAAAGGCACCCCATCAAATTACATCAAGTAGAAAACGCAAATCGCAGGTCAAGTTTTCACAAAATCAGGGAGAAAAATCCTTACCAGCAGATCAAATTAAGTCCCTATTCGGCTTTTCAAACACCCATCAAACCATACCAACCTGAACTCAAACATCTACAAGTTCATTCTGCTAGCCCCCGTTGCATGAGACAACAGGAACCAATCTACCTAAAGTCTCAGACACCGCGCTTGAGTTGCTCTTACAGAAACAACACTGCAGTGCCGAGTTACATGGCAGACACTGCATCTGCTAAGGCTCGAATTAGATCACAAAGTGTGCCTAGAGAACAAAGGCCTTCCACACCTGAGAGAGAAGGGATAGGAATTCCAAAAAGGCGCTTATTTTTTGGATCATCAGAAGAGGTAGCTTCACCATCCTGCAGAAATACTCCAAGGGTTCAGAGATAAGCTGACATTGAACTATGAAGTCTGACTGTAACTGTAATTCTTGTATATTAGATTGGTAGTTTATTTGTTTTATCTAGTGTTTCATTGAAGTTTAAGTAGAATAGGCTGATGCAATTTTAAGTCTGGCTATATACTCACTACTTCAGTTTGATTCTAGAGATGCAGGAGTTTTCTGACATTTTACAGCAAAATAACAGGAAATAGTTAACAATATTTGAACTCTTTAGAACTCAAAATATCTAATATTTCTGCACTTCCTGCAAAAGAACACCAAGTACTACACAGTGGAATTCATACACATTAACATACATGTAAGAACAAATGAAATTAAAAGAGCATACAAAATTTCCAGCTGATTAGCCACAAGAAACATCCAACTAATCCTGGATTCCCGTCTAAGCGAACCTTTAAACAACTCAAAAGGACAGAAAAACAAACATACTAATTCAACCAGTGGAATGGCATATCAGAATTTGCCTTGGAGTTATGACAGGTAGTAGTAGTAGGGCTATTGCTCTCACTGCTATCAGAAAACGTAGCAAGAGTTTTCTGCAGAACCCCGGAAGGCGATGAGACAGCAGTCGCCGGTGGAGTGACAAACTCCACCTCACTGACATCAGACAATGCCATATTACCCGGCCGCAGGACTTCGGCCAATGGGCCACCAGGTGTGGTGGAAGAAGAAACCCATGAATCAATAAGGCCAAGACCCATATGAATTTGGCACATTTCATCATCAATGACATTGGAATTACCACCATTTGATGAGGACAAAGAAAGTTTACTACTTCCATTGTTCTTATTATTTCCTGCCATACCCATTGACCAAGCATCAAACAAAGGCCTCTCTAATAAGCCCAATTCATCAGGTTTAGTAGGATTGTAACCAGATTGAGAGTTCAAATTCAAGGGCTCTCCCTCAAATTGTTGCTGAAAAACACTGGAATTCATGTTTGTCTGCACTAATTGATTCCATTGTTGCTCATCATTCCAACCCAAATTCCTAAAAAACAAGAAACAAACATAATTTAGCATAATTAACAGTTAAAACCAAATTAAATGTGAATAATTAGACAAAAAAAACAAACATAATAATCATAATTAAGAAAACCCCACCTAGAATCCTCAAAAGGGTTAGCAGGAGAAACCAAAGAATGATCAAAGATGGAAGCTTTAGAACAAGATCCAACACATTGAGGTGGGTTTAAAGAGGAATTATCACTCAAACGAGTTTTCTTAGCAGGGGTAAAATTGTCTTTTTCTTTGTTGTCGTCTGAGAGATTAGAGAGAGTGTGTTGATGACGTTGCTGTTGTTGTTGTTGTTGAAGTTGTTGTTGTTGTTGTTCCACATGCTTTCTTGAACGGGGGCGTCCTCTATGCATGTGACGCTCACAGTATTTTTGGTTAGGCGCTACATCCCTTGAGCACCTCCATTTCTTTCCATCTGTTCTTCTACACCTTCCTGGCTCTGCATCTTTACTATTTCCACTCCATCTCATGCTTATTCCACTCCCATACTTTCCCATATCTGCCCTTCCACCAAACATAAGAAAAACATGTCATGTTAATACGGCGTGACATAAAACTTGTATACAACGGATGTATTACAAACAGCATGGACATGTAATCACCCTATATTACATGGAAGTCACCCCAGCACAAAGTTCGCCTTCATGTAATGTGGGTATGTATAATATCTTGAACACAAGGTTTGTTACATGTAACAACATACAATGATACGATCACCCCAAATCACATAAAAGTCCCGCGGCCACGAAATTGGTACTCTTGTGATTTGGGGTACATACAATCGTGTATACAATGTGTGTTACATACAACAATAGGTGCACAGACAGATTTGTCACCCCAAATCACATAAAGGTCGCCCCAAGTCACCTTGGTGCCGAAGTTGATTTTTATGTGATTTGGAAATTTATATATCAATGTACATGTAAAAAAATAAATAAATAAATAAAGGATAAATAAAAACAAGCGAGAGAAAAATAATTAGGGAAGAAAGTGACATACAATAGGAGGCAGGGGCAAAAGTGGAAGGATAAGAGAAATTGGTGGGGAAAGAAGAGTAGAGAAGATCAGGAGGAACAGGAAGAGATGCCATCATGTACTTGTAAATCATTGCTTGTCTTTCCAATTCTTTCCATTGTGTTGCTGTAAATGGAAACCCCATTGTTGCTGTAGCCATTCCAACTGCACCCATTTACATTACCTCTAAATTAATTAACAAGTAAACACAAAAATACCAAAAATGGGTGAAATTGCTCTGTTTTCAGTAAAATTTTATCGGTATTTGAGAACAGACAAATTTGTAAAGTTTTCGTTTTTGTAATCAAGACAATAAAAGTTAGATTAAAATACAAAATTGAATTTGAAAAAGTGTTAAAAATCTAATCTTGATAATTGGGTACAATTAAAAATTGAATCTTGCTCTGTTCAAATTAGCAATTATCACCCAAAATTGCTCTGTTTTAAGCAGTAAGAAAAAACCCAGAAAAACATTCTAAAGTTCTGATCTTTTCAACAGAAAAACAACAATAAAGTCAACAAATGTACAAAAAAAATGCCGTTTTTTTTTTTTATGAATTCATAAGACAGAACAAAGAAGGATAAAAAAGTAAACAAAAAATTACCTGAGGATTTGTGGAAAGGATTTGCAGAAGTATAATATGAAGAAACATCAAAAGGCTGCTGCAACCCTCTTACAACACCAGTAGTTGTAGAAGTAGAAGTAGAAGAAGAATGAACAGAAGAAGGGGAATTATCAGCTACAACAGGACTACAGTATACAAGTGGATTATCACTGATCATCATGTTATTGTACCCATTACATCTGGGCCCACCATCTCCATCACCACCATTATTATCATGATCATCTCTTCTTCTTTGATTGTTCAGAAATGAACGGTCCTGATCTTGCTGATTCAGTTTCAGACCCAACTCAACTACTACAACTTGTTCACCATTTTCAGAATTCTTTTTCATGCTTCAATTTTTTTTCCCAAAAATAATAAAAATTCAATCTTTAAGTTTTTTGAGTTTCTATTCTATAAGAGGAAAGATTGAAACTTGCTTTTAAAGAAAGAATAAAAATTCAATCTTTAAGTTTTTTGAAAGTGTTTGAGATTTGGGGGTTTAGTGAAATGGTTGAAGAAAGAAGGGAAGTGAATTAATAAATAGAGAAAATTAAAGAAATGGTTGCCGCCATTCTTGGCCTTTGATTTGCTTCCATGCTTCCAACATTCTTACCATTTTGCAAAAAGTACTCTTTCTCTCTCTAGCTATATATAACACTTTCTCTCTCTAAATACATGACATAATTGCGATGTTTATGTCAACTTGTGAGAAAATCCTTTTAAAATAAATAGAAAATAAAATTAAAAAATTGATTAATTAATTTTTTGAGTATTGATATTTGTTTGAAATGCCACGCAATTGGAGAGGACTATCTTTTGTGCATGTTGCACCGTACCGAGGCCCCTTATTAGGTTTATTTTTAAATGATATAGGGACTTGAGCCTAATATTGTAGGGCCCCCTCCCCTACAACACCTTATTTTAAAATGATTTTACCTCTAAATTACTCCTTTTTACTACAGCTCCTTTTTTACCGTTGCTTATTTATTGGAGTATAAATGCATTTAGGAAAGTGATTAAAAGGGAAAGAGTAGCAATTAGCCAATTAGCCCCTTTGACTAACAAAAGTATTGGTCTAATAAGATTGAACAATTTTAAGTTTTTAACCTCGAGGTTGGGTACAATTTCCACTAGCCTTTACAATTGTAGGTCAATTACTTCTTCATATTTTGTCAACGAATATTTTTTTAAAAAAAAAAAAAAAAAAAAAAAAAAAAAAATGTATATGTACTTATGTAGTTTTAAGGATTGCATATAAATATCAGATAGACTTTTTAAAATGAAATAAAATTAGTAACTTATAATAAAATTACGTATAAATTAATATAACTAATATTTATTTGTCCTTAATATTTCCTTATTTAGCTTTTTATATGTTTATCATTTTTCAACAAAATAAGGTCATTTAATTTGTCAATCCCACAGACACATACAGAAAATTTTATAATTACAGCTTTACGATTATTACAGATTAGGAAGGGTATTACAAATGGTATTTGTAATTCCACCATAGTAACTTATGTGGGCTTGAGGATTATAAATTTGGACAGATGGGAGTATAGGAGGAACTACATCAATTAGTAGATTAGGATTTTGTGGCTATTATTATTGTCAAGCATAAAAATCATATTGATGTTGAAGTCTTAAGATGTGTAGAAATTTTTTCTTTGTTTATGATTTATCATCGCTTCATAACTCCATAAGCAAGGTGCAACCAATAATTTTCTTTTAAGGGTCAATTTGATATCAGTTTGTAGAATGCTTAATATAAATTCGAATGTTGGAATTAAACTTATAACATATGTATTTGAATTTATGTTTGAATTCAAATTTATAAATTTAATATGATTTGGAGTTTTATTTTTAAAATATTATGAAATTCAAACATTGAGTTTCTTTTTTATAAATGATTTTTATTTGAGATTAATGAGGTCTATCTATTAAATTCTTACTACAATTGCAAGTTATTAATAAATATTAAAAGAGATATCAAATTTTGTTGGGAAGAATAATCCCTTTGTATTTAATTTATCCACTTTACATGTTTTCATTTTTCAAGTACCATGATGTGGTAAGACATGAAACTCAAATCTTAGTTTAGCAAGTGAGCTTAGTCTTAAGCCCTGTTGTTTTGGACTTATTTTCAATTTAATTCATTTCAACTTAATAAGAGTTTATTTCATTTTTCTACTTTTAATTCAACTTTACTCCATAATTCAACTCAAAAGAACAGGCTCTGAGTTGGATAAGAAGCGATAGCTAAAAGCTAGTACTAGTAGTTGATTGATTGCTTTCCATCTATTGTAGCTACTAAACTCGCACAAAATTGATGATTTGATTTGAGGAGAGGTGATTTGAGTCGAGGGCCATTTGGGTTTGGAGGGGTCGGTGACACAAACTGCTCCCTTTCTCCCACACCAAGTTTTTATAGCGAGTGGAATTCTTGCGCGTCTACCAGTTGTAGGATGTGACTACACCTTGTAATTTTACTGTTCATAAATTGAGACGACACAATTAACTTTACTACTAGTACGGAGTAACGTTTTTCAAACTTATTCTAATTCTTTTTTGGACCATTCTTCAAGTGGTTCACTTATGAATAATTTTTTATTGTATTTGGAATTTTGCACTTGAAAAATGACAAAGTAAAACTGATTCATTCTAAATTATTCGTGTTCAATTATATAATTAATGATACCTACATTTAAACGAATCTAAAATAATGTGTAATGAACTAAGGACCTGTTTTGATTTACTAAACTAAGCTGAACTAAACTGAACTGAATTAAACTGAATTGAGATGAAATAAATATTTTATGAGAGAAGACCCTAAAAACTGAAATTAAGTTGAAGAGAATAGGCTCTAAGAACACCATATACCTACAGAATTCATAATATATATTGATGAAAACATATATCAGCGTGTATAAAGTATGTATGTTTTGTGTTAAAACCTATTTGTAGTTCATTTGTGAATAGTCTCACATTGAAAAATGAGAAGAGAAACAACGACTAAAGGTATAGAATTGGAGTTACTTTTCCTATCCTTAACTGATTTTAGGGCTTGTTCTAATTTACTAAACTGAACTGATGAATAGAACTGAAATGAATATTTTATGAGAGAGGGAAATTAGGAACTGATCTGAACTGAACTGATTGGAGCTGAATTGAACTGAACTGAAATTGAGCTGAAGAGAACAAGCCCTTAGTATGAAACATTCTTTGGGCTTGCAAGTGAACCCAACTCTTCTCTGTGACTAATTGTAAGTACTACATCCGATTTTTTTTTAGTTGCAACTTTTGAGTATTATTTGAGAGATATAAAATATTCCAAAGTTGCAACTAAAAAAACCCGGAGGTAGTATATGTTTATATTACATTAATATTATTGTGACGGGGTGTATGCAAAAGCTTACGACAAGTTGGCGACTATCAATCAACCATCATATATTAATGTCTACCCAACTAAGCTTGGTCTAGTGATAAAGATTGCACTTTCCAACCTCGAGGTATGGTAGTCTAGTAATAAAAATTTCATTTCTAACCTCGAGGTTAAGGTTTAATCCCCACAAGAGATAGTTTGAGCGTGAGGATCCCTTACCTAACCCGTAAATATACGACAAATAAAAGTCGTAAGGATTAAAATTTGATCAAGGTCCTTCTCCATCCTTACCTTAAAAAAAAGTTAAACAAAATTTAAATAAATTATCATGTCATAGAAAAATCTCAATAAATATTTCATTCTTCAATGGAGACATTTCATGAATATTTTAGAAAATCATAAAAGTTTATGCATTTATTTTTTACACCTCACGTAAATGCAATTTACTACATATAATAAACTATTTTCTCTTAGGGTATAAGGACGAATATATCATTTCATTATCTAGGTCATGTATTGTTTATTTTATATACTACCTCCGATTTTTATTATTTGCAATTTTGGAGTATTATTTGTGAGATATAAAATATTCTAAAATTACAAATAATAAAAATCAGAGGTAGTATAAGCGACAGGGCTCCCTAATCAAGGTGAGCCGTATTCATCCCAATACTTATACATGGTATTGGAGCCTTATTTATTTATTTATTTATTTTACTTTTGTTCTTGTTTTTACCGTAAAAAGAGGTCTTCTTCTCCTCGTTCTTTATATCCATTCAATCTTTTATTTTTTGAAGTTATATCTACGTCAATAAATATCTTATACTCCCTCCATTTGAACTCTAATTACAACTTTGATCATAAATTTTCATTGATGAATAGACAGAGTATAATTACGTAGTATATGGAATTTCATAAGATTTGTTTCAATTTTTAAAAAATAGTTACTAATACACGATTAACAAGTTAAAGGTCATATATATACTTCCTCCATTTTAAAATAATTGTAACACATACTTTTTCACGGTATTTAAGAAAAGTAGGGTTTACATGTAAGAGGTTGTTAGAAAAATAATTTAGTAGGCATAGTATACGAGAAATAGTATAACTTTTTCTCGAAATAATTATTCATTTTTAGTGAGTTTCGAGTATTGTGCATTTTAGTCATCCTCCATTTTAGAGAAGTTTGTTGAGTAAGTATTAAAACATGTAGAATGTATATGTTTTTTTTAAGTCGTAAATAAATAAATAATGCAAATAATAATAGACGGGTAGTATTAGAGTATAAAGGTACAAGTATCCCTCTCCTTCCCCCTCTTGTTTGTAGAATATGGCGTAACACTTTTTTTTGAGGAAAATATGGCGTAACACTTTATATAATGACATTTGTAATCTTGCTAAAATAATCTTTTTTTTTTTTTTTTTTCGTACGTAGTATATGGAGTATATTATAAACTATCCTTATCGATCAATATTTGAATTAATATGATCTCGACTAATTCCAAAAGTAATTTATTGAGATTCAGAACTTTAATAATAAGACACTCCTCATAAATTTCACTAAGTCACGGCAAAAGTTTAGTGATGTTTATACATACATAGGTTAAATAATAAGTCAAAATTCCAGTTGTGAGATTAAAGAAAATTGGCTAGTCTAACAACAGGGTCCATGCAAAGAGATTTTATAAGATTGCCAATTGTAACTTTTTTGGAACTTTGTTTCTCTTCTTCTTGAGCCCCATGTTGAGTTTATCTCTTCAAGAAAGCCTTATAAGTTAATTAGGAATACACTGTAGCTTAGTTAACCTTTTTTTTTTTTTTTTTTTTTTGGTGAGTGAATTTTACCTTTTTAGTTTAATTAAAATATTCATTGTCAAACTTCTAACAAAAGTTCCTAGAATGTCAAACTTAAAGTACCTAGAATTATTTCCAATTTTTTTTAAAAAAAGAAAAAAAATTAATGAATGTCACATACTTGATACTTGTATCGAGTAGCAGCACGTTAGTATGGGTTGACAAGGAGACTCGAAGTAATAAACTTCATAAACTCAATTGGATTTTTGTAATCATTGATTCTAGTTGAGTAATTTTAAAGTGAACATGTTTATCAATTGTTTTATAAGGTGTGATTTTATATTTAATAAATGAGATCTCATACAAACTAAATTCTGTAATTCATCCCTTGAAACTTAAAAGCAATGCTTCTTTGAAACGGTAAAGTATAGTTATGGGACGGGCCTTATGAGTTGTTTGGTGAGTGGGATGAGAACGATTTATAAAGCAAGTGAATATAAACTGAAATGAATGTTTTAACTATTCGTCTGTTC